CGACTTTTTTTGCACCCTGACCCGGGTGCTCCACCTCGATCCAAGTCTGCTCCATGCAGCTCCGCGGCACTCCGGTGGGACTCCCACTGGCGAGCTCCTCGTGTATTCTGGCTTAGTGTAAATTAATAACATTTCCCACAGTTAACGCTCAGTTAACACTCAGTTAACACTCAGTTAACACTACAGTTAACACTACAGCCGAAATGCTGGGAAAACCAGCATTTTCGTCAAATGTGTATAAAAGACACTAAAACTAGCAGTTTTTCTTTTCAAAACGCGTGTATTCTGCAAAATGCTGGTTTTTGCGGCATTTCGGCAGTGTTAACTGTAGTGTTAACTGTAGTGTTAACTGAGTGTTAACTGAGTGTTAACTGTAGAAAAGGCACACTATGCAGTTAACACTTATTACTCTGCCGAAATGCAAGGAAAACCTGCGTTTCCTAAAATCTGTCTTACAAGTACCTCGGTCCTTGACACACAGTGACACACCGACACACATGGTGAGATGGTGAGGGATCGATATTGTGGCTTGTCATCACTTGCATATTGCTTACTGTGACAACAGTTTAAGGTACTGTTGATGGAGGAAATCTTGCACCAGTTTAAGTGGCCAAGCCAAGCAGACACCCCACGCCCCCTTTTTAACATTGACCGGTGATCGTCGGAAGTGCCGTGGGTTCCAGTAACAAAAATCTTGCACCACCTCCGTATCCATCATCTTCAATGTTAAAAAGGGGGTGTGGGGATATGCTCAAGCGTCGTGTCACTTGTTACTAGGCAGATGGTGCAAGATTTCCTCCGTCAACCGACAGGATCCTTCTTGCTGAGATCACCCAAGTAGCCTGTGTCGTCACTCGACTGTACCACGCTTCCTGTGACGGGTACCATCCACATGCAGACCAAGCCCTACACATGTCCAAGAATGCGATACGGCAAGCTTGTTGGCACGGCTGGTTGCTATAGGTACGACCCAAGACCACGCAAGCCGACTGTGGTAGCAGGCTTCCAGGATGCGACTTTTTTTGCACCCTGACCCGGGTGCTCCACCTCGATCCAAGTCTGCTCCATGCAGCTCCGCGGCACTCCGGTGGGACTCCCACTGGCGAGCTCCTCGTGTATTCTGGCTTAGTGTAAATTCCTTACATTTCCCACAGTTAACGCTCAGTTAACACTCAGTTAACACTCAGTTAACACTACAGTTAACACTACAGTTAACACTGCCGAAATGCTGGGAAAACCAGCATTTTCGTCAAATGTGTATAAAAGACACTAGAACTAGCAGTTTTTCTTTTCAAAACGCGTGTATTCTGCAAAATGCTGGTTTTTGCGGCATTTCGGCAGTGTTAACTGTAGTGTGAACTGTAGTGTTAACTGAGTGTTAACTGAGTGTTAACTGTAGAAAAGGCACACTATGCAGTTAACACTTATTACTCTAACTGTAGAAAAGGCACACTATGCAGTTAACACTTATTACTCTGCCGAAATGCAAGGAAAACCTGCGTTTCCTAAAATCTGTCTTACAAGTACCTCGGTCCTTGACACACAGTGACACACCGACACACATGGTGAGATGGTGAGGGATCGATATTGTGGCTTGTCATCACTTGCATATTGCTTACTGTGACAACAGTTTAAGGTACCGACAGGATCCTTCTTGCTGAGATCACCCAAGTAGCCTGTGTCGTCACTCGACTGTACCACGCTTCCTGTGACGGGTACCATCCACATGCAGACCAAGCCCTATACATGTCCAAGAATGCGATACGGCAAGCTTGTTGGCACGGCTGGTTGCTATAGGTACGACCCAAGACCACGCAAGCCGACTGTGGTAGCAGGCTTCCAGGATGCGACTTTTTTTGCACCCTGACCCGGGTGCTCCACCTCGATCCAAGTCTGCTCCATGCAGCTCCGCGGCACTCCGGTGGGACTCCCACTGGCGAGCTCCTCGTGTATTCTGGCTTAGTGTAAATTCCTTACATTTCCCACAGTTAACGCTCAGTTAACACTCAGTTAACACTCAGTTAACACTACAGTTAACACTACAGTTAACACTGCCGAAATGCTGGGAAAACCAGCATTTTCGTCAAATGTGTATAAAAGACACTAGAACTAGCAGTTTTTTCCCGAAAGCATCGCGAAGGGTTCTTCCGTGTGGAACGCCGCAGCTGAGTACATAGATGACAGACATAGAATCAACTCACTTGATTCCATACTTTACTCTACACTCTACACTTGATACTTGACTCTACACTTGATACTTACTTACTTACTTGACCCTTATGACTGACTCTCTACACTTGACACTTGACTCTATGATACTTGACTCTACACTTGATACTTGACTCTATGTTATGCTTACGACTTCCTTACTTACTTACTTACTTCAATCTACTTACTAACTTACTTGACACTTGACACTGGACTCTATTTTATGCTATCTCTATACTTACTTACTTACTTACTTGACTTGCTTACTTATACTTACTATACTTACTTACTTATGACTGACTCTCTATGCATCTATGACTTACTATGACTTATGACTTACTCTCTACATCTCGGTATCTTAATATTTCTTAATATTGGCGGGGGTGGCACCGTCTGGGTCCATCGGGAATGCAACCCTTCCCAGGGATTCGCTGCCTCGGGCGTTCAAACGCTAGGTAAAGTGACACATTTTAGGCGCCCGGCGCAACCCTTCCCAGGGATTCGCTGCCTCGGGCGTTCAAACGCTAGGTAAAGTGACACATTTTAAGCGCCCGGCGCAACCCTTCCCAGGGATTCGCTGCCTCGGGCGTTCAAACGCTAGGTAAAGTGACACATTTTAGGCGCCCGGCGCAACCCTTCCCAGGGATTCGCTGCCTCGGGCGTTCAAACGCTAGGTAAAGTGACACATTTTAGGCGCACCGCGCAACCCCTCCCAGGGATTCGCTGCCTCGGGCGTTCAAACGCTAGGTAAAGTGACACATTTTAGGCGCACCGCGCAACCCTTCCCAGGGATTCGCTGCCTCGGGCGTTCAAACGCGAGGTAAAGTTACACTTCTTGCGGGCGCCGCGCAACCCTTCACAGGGATTCGCCTCCTCGGGTGTTCAAACGCGAGGTAAAGTTACACTTCTTGCGGGCGCCGCGCAACCTTTCACAGGGTTTGGGTGCAGTTCAATTTTTTTTGCAACCCTTCACAGGGATTTGCATTTTGCAACCCTTCACAGGGATTGGCGTGGTCGGGTGTTCGAACGCGAGGTAAAGTTGCATTTTTTGATTTGCATTGAAATGAATTTTGCAACCCTTCACAAGTATTGGCGTGGTGGAGTGTTCGAACGCGAGGTAAAGTTGCAATTTTTGATGAGCATTGAGATGAATTTTGCAACCCTTCACAAGGATTGGCGTGGTGGAGTGTTCGAACGCGAGGTAAAGTTGCAATTTTTGATGAGCATTGAAATGAATTTTGCAACCCCTCACAGGGATTGGCGTGGTCGAGTGGTTGAACGCCAGGTAAAGTTGCAATTTTTGATGAGCATTGAGATGAATTTTGCAACCCTTCACAGGGATTGGCGTAGTGGAGTGTTCGAACGCGAGGTAAAGTTGCAATTTTTGATGAGCATTGAAATGAATTTTGCAACCCCTCACAGGGATTGGCGTGGTCGAGTGGTCGAACGCAAGGTAAAGTTACACATTTTGCGGTGCCCCTCGCAATCCTTCATTGAGAGGGATTAGCTTCCTCGAATGTTCTAATCGGAAGGTGTGCAGGTACTGTTGCATGGTCTTTGGGCGCTGCGTGTAACCCTCTGCATGGATTGGCGTGGTCCAGGGTTGAAACGTGTGTGCAAACTACTACTTGTATGCTTTCCGCCGTGCAACTCTCCACAGGGAGTGGCGTGGTCGATTGCGGGAACTTGCATCTCTGCGAGGTGCAATTGGCAACCCTTCAGAGGGATTGGCAGATGCATATATCGATAATATACGCACATATATATATATATATATATATATGTGTGGTCGATTGCAGGAACTTGCATCTCTGCGAGGTGCAATTGGCAACCCTTCAGAGGGATTGGCAGATGCATATATCGATAATATACGCACATATATATATATATATATGTGCGTCGATTGCAGGAACTTGCATCTCTGCGAGGTGCAATTGGCAACCCTTCAGAGGGATTGGCAGATGCATATATCGATAATATACGCACATATATATATATATATATATATATATATATCTATCTTTCTATCTATCCATATATAGATAGATAGATAGATAGATAATAGATATATACATAGATAGATAGATAGACATATATTCATGCGCCTGTACGGCGCGTACGCTGTCTTGCGACGGCGCAACGCGCCGCTGCCTGGCCGATGACCTGCAGGCTCGGAGCTTCTTCCTGCTTTGTAGAGGCTTTCTCCTTGCACACGTTTGACTCGCAGGCTGCCTGGTCGATGACCTGCAGGCTCGGAGCTTCTTCCTGCTTTGTAGAGGCTTTCTCCTTGCACACGTTTGACTCGCAGGCTGCCTGGTCGATGACCTGCAGGCTCGGAGCTTCCTCCTGCTTTGTAGAGGCTTTCTCCTTGCACACGTTCGACTCGCAGGCTGCCTGGCCGATGACTTCTGCAGGCTCGGAGTTTCTTGCTGCTCTGTAAAGGCTTTCTCCTTGCACGTTTGCCTGCCTCGTTTGGCTCGAAAGGCAGAAGAAGGGGAAGAAAGGGAAAACGCGTTGCAGTATTTTGCACACATTGCAGCATCTTACTACACCTAGTACGCTTCCTTGCCTGCCTTGACGCTGTCTTGCGAAAGGGCCGGTGTGGAGATTATTCTCAGCTTATTCTCATCTTCTCAGCTGACCATACTTAGGACAGTTGTTTGCCCGCCTCGACGCTGTCTTGCGAAAGGGTCGGTGCAGACACTTTTGCATTTGAACATACTTGGGACAGTGTTTTGCTTGCCTCGACGCTGTCTTGCGAAAGGGCCGGCGTGGACGCCTTCTTCCATCCCATGGATTCGCGGTTGCAGAAGTTCCGCGCCGATTATGCCCAGCAGGGCGAAGACTGGCTCCGCACCGAGCTGGACAAGCAAAACCGGCAGGACCTGCGTGGGCTCTGTGTCGCTGCGGGTGTGCAACAGAAGTCTGCCGGGCACACGCTTACCAGAGCGGAGCTGTTGGAAGCTCTATCAGAGAGCATTGCCGGGGAGCAGGCTTGATGGGGAAGCGGCGTTCTTGAGGATTGTCCATGTCAGCTTCGGTTGCAGTGAGGCGTCAGTGTCGTTGTCAGGTGGGATGTATTGTGCTTTGCAGTGAAGTAGTTCTTGCTGTCAGGCCGATGAACCTGCGTCGCAGCGAAAGCTGCAGGAGCTGCGCACGGGTTATGCCGAGCAGGGCGAAGCCTGGCTCCGCGGCGAGTTGGGGAAGCAGAGTCGGGCGGAGCTGGTTGGGCTCTGTGTCGCTGCGGGTTTGCAACGACACCGTGCCGGGTGCACGCTTACCAAGCCGGAGTTGTCGAAAGCTCTATCACAGAGCATTGCCGGGGAGCAGGCTTCATGGGGAAGCGGCGTTTTTTAGGATTGTCCATGTCAGCTTCGGTTGCAGTGAGCTGTCAGCGTCGTCGTCGGGTGGGATGTTTAGTGCTCTGCAGTGAAGCAGTTCTTGGTGTCAGGCCGATGAAGCGGCGTCGCAGCAAAGGCTGCTCGAGCTGCGCACGGGTTATGCCGAGCAGGGCGAAGCCTGGCTCCGCGGCGAGTTGGGGAAGCAGAGTCGGGCGGAGCTGGTTGGGCTCTGTGTCGCTGCGGGTTTGCAACGACACCGTGCCGGGTGCACGCTTACCAAGCCGGAGTTGTCGAAAGCTCTATCACAGAGCATTGCCGGGGAGCAGGCTTCATGGGGAAGCGGCGTTTTTTAGGATTGTCCATGTCAGCTTCGGTTGCAGTGAGCTGTCAGCGTCGTCGTCGGGTGGGATGTTTAGTGCTCTGCAGTGAAGCAGTTCTTGGTGTCAGGCCGATGAAGCGGCGTCGCAGCAAAGGCTGCTCGAGCTGCGCACGGGTTATGCCGAGCAGGGCGAAGCCTGGCTCCGCGGCGAGTTGGGGAAGCACGGCAAGGATGAGCTGGTTGGGCTCTGTGTCGCTGCGGGTTTGCAACGACACCGTGCCGGGTGCACGCTTACCAAGCCGGAGTTGTCGAAAGCTCTATCACAGAGCATTGCCGGGGAGCAGGCTTCATGGGGAAGCGGCGTTTTTTAGGATTGTCCATGTCAGCTTCGGTTGCAGTGAGCTGTCAGCGTCGTCGTCGGGTGGGATGTTTAGTGCTCTGCAGTGAAGCAGTTCTTGGTGTCAGGCCGATGAAGCGGCGTCGCAGCAAAGGCTGCTCGAGCTGCGCACGGGTTATGCCGAGCAGGGCGAAGCCTGGCTCCGCGGCGAGTTGGGGAAGCAGAGTCGGGCGGAGCTGGTTGGGCTCTGTGTCGCTGCGGGTTTGCAACGACACCGTGCCGGGTGCACGCTTACCAAGCCGGAGTTGTCGAAAGCTCTATCACAGAGCATTGCCGGGGAGCAGGCTTCATGGGGAAGCGGCGTTTTTTAGGATTGTCCATGTCAGCTTCGGTTGCAGTGAGCTGTCAGCGTCGTCGTCGGGTGGGATGTTTAGTGCTCTGCAATGAAGCAGTTCTTGGTGTCAGGCCGATGAAGCGGCGTCGCAGCAAAGGCTGCTCGAGCTGCGCACGGGTTATGCCGAGCAGGGCGAAGCCTGGCTCCGCACCGAGCTGGACAAGCACGGCAAGGATGAGCTGGTTGGGCTCTGTGTCGTTGCGAGTGTGCGACGACACCGCGCCGGGCACACGCTTTCCAAAGCGGATCTGTTGGAAGCTTTGTCGCTGGGCATCGTCCAGGAGGAGGTATGACGGGGGGAAGGGGGGCGTGTGCGTGCATGTGTGTGTGTGTGTGTCTGTTTGTTTCAGTGCTTACAGGTGAATATCGAGGACCTCTTCACGGCAGATGGCTTGCGGCGCTTGGCAGGAGAGCTCGGGGAAAAGGCACCACCTCGAATTCGGGCGCGGCTTCGTGTCTTGCCCTTGCGGGCCGATGGACCCTGTATGCAGCGAGTGGCCGAAGATCTGGGTGTGGCGTTTGAGGACGTGAGCAAGCAGGTCTTGATTCAGCGGATTGTCATGGCGTTGTGCCCCCTGCGCGTTCCGAGTGCAGACGGTGACATCAAGTACCTAATGTGGAGATCCCTCTACGCGGTTCGCAGAGCCGGAGCACAGGATGCTGAAGCGGTGGTTGCAGCTGCTTGCGACATCTTCGAGGATGCCAACGTGCGCCAATCCGCGGCTGCGTACTCGTTGGACATTACGGTAGAATCATTTTCCGCGAGACATCTGTCTTCCGATTCGGAGAGAGATCTACTTGCGCAAAAGATTCTGGACAGTCTGCAGCATTGGTCACAGGTCGACACGGCGCTGTCTCGAGAAGTGAGTTCTACGTGGGAGGTTGCTGTTGCCGGCTTGAGAGACGCGACTGTGCCGTGTCTGACTTCTTCCATGCAGCATTGTCTTCTTGCAGCCGTGTTGGAAGATCACGTGGATCAGCGGACAGGCGAGCATTATCGCAAATCACGATCTTCGTGTAATGTCTTGGATGCCGTGTTGCTGTCGTGCGTTGTGCGTGTGAGTTCGGGAAACAGGTTGGTGGCGTCTTGCAGATTGCCTCGAGCGAGTGGACCCCGTGGACGTTGCTCGCCGGCTCTGGTATCTGGCCAACCTCGAGGCGGAGCCGCGAGCGTGTGCAACGGACGGGTACGAAGATCGCCAAGAGGTGTTGGAGGCAACCCGCGCGAAGCCGTCCCGAAACATAGAGAGTCTGGGACGTGATCGTGCATGGGGTCATGGACATAATGAGGATTAAGTTGGACTGTAGCTTCATGTGCGCACGCGTTGCTGTGCGTTCCTCGCTCATGTTTGTTTCATCGGGTCCTGGCAGGCTGTCCTGAGCATTATCCAGCACAAGTTTCGCACTCGCAAGTTCGATCGGGCCGATACCACACTGCTTCGGGGGCTGATGCGTCGGTATGGGTGGGAGCGACAAGCACAGCCGGACGAACCTTTGTACTGGTACCAGACCTTCGGGGACGTGCGGAAGTCTGAAGACTGGTCGCAATTTGCTTGGTTTTTGGTGACGGAGCTGTTGCACCCGCTGGCTGGCATCGGCATTCGTGACTTGCACAATCCTAACACAGTGTCGGCAGCCAGGGCTAGCGAGCAAGGCATAGATAAAGACACGCTCACCTTGCGGAATCAGCTTCTGGACTGGCAGACGACTGAAGGGTGTTACCGTTTGCCTTCGCGAGAGGAGAATCCAGTCCTGGCCAAGGGTGTTGAAGCGTACTACCCTGACGGTGCCACTGCGAGGGCCCGGGCCATGAGAAAGGCTTATCCGCCGGATTTCGATCCGTTGTGCTGGCTGGCACTTGACTGCCTTGGTGATGGCTCGGAGGCGCTAGACGGCATTCTCTGGCGTTCGGCCGTGGAGCGGGCAGTGCTGTTCGCCGTCCCCGGGTGGTGTGAGGGCAGGCGTATGAAGCAACGTTTCTTGCCCGTGGAAGACTTGCTTCGGAACGCGGACGAGGCGGGGCGGCAAGCGCTCGGGATCTTGCGAGACTCCGAGGTGTCGTTGCCTTTGAAGCTGGATCGCGTCGCTGTGCTGCTGAATTGCTCTCGGAGCGTACCTGCCGTAAGCGAGGCGGTAGCTCGTCGCCTGCTCCAGACTTTTTCGGACGATGCCTCGGTGACGTGCGAACGGTGTTGCTGCCGCTTATGCGACTTCAGTTGCCGGAAGCAATCGGAGCTGAAGCAACACGTCGTGGACACTCATCTCGTGCGGCCGCTGGATGTGGAGCTCGCCTTCGTTGAATACCGCAAGAAAATCCTGGCGATGGTGGAGCATGCCGGTCCGATGGCTTCTTGTCGCATGCTGCGCCTTCTTGCTTTCGGTTACGGTAAAGGGTCGACGTGCGTAATAACGTGTTAGGAACGATCACAGTCAGGTGCCTGGGATGAGTCGTCAGCGTGCAATCGCTGCCAATTTCGACGAGGAGCTGCGATGCCCTCTTGAAATGGACGGTGGCCGAGCGGAAGGAGGCTGCGTGGTGTGCGCTCGCCGTTTCTGGATGAACGAGTTGTTTTCCATGGTTCTCTTTCAGAGGCCGGATGAAGATGCGTCGACAATCGAGGTACCTGCCGGCGCCGAGACGCTGGCCCCGAATCAGCAGCACCGTCTTTGCCGATTGTTGGGCGTCGCTCGGTATGCGGAGCGCTGGCCGCAGATAGCTCTTTCCGAACTGAAGGCCTCTGCTGTGGAGCATCCGTACATTGAAGGCGAGTTTCTGCTGCTGCATCGCCGCCGCATGCCGGCATCTTTCACGGACCCCTGTACGGTTTGCAGAGACTGTCGCAGGAGTTTGAAGAGCAGTATTCTCACGCTTCCCAGGCATGCGCTGGCCAACGACCTTTGGATCGGACGCGTATTGCCCGAGCTCAGCAACCTCTCGGCTGGAACAAAACGGCTGCTTCCCATCGTGCGGGTTTGCATGCAGGTGACCGTCTTGCAACCTTTGTCACTGCCGCGAGACGAGAGGCAGAAGGGATACATCGGTAACACGATCTTCCTGCCGCAGGCTGGGCCTAGCGCCATCCAGGCTACTCTGCCTCCCAAAGACCAAGACATGGCCGAGAGCATCTTGTTCGTTTTGGTTGGGCAGAAGAAGCAGGAACTGCGGTCCAGCAAGCTTTTGCAAGCTCCCAGAGAGGAGTATGTTGCCGCTGTTGAGAAGCTGCGCGAGACGTCGCCTTACTACAGGTCGGTCGCGCTGGAGGCCGGCCTAACTCCTGGTGACGACGTCGACGCACTGGAAGGCTGCGTTTTGGAAACGGCCGCTGACAGTTACTTGGCCCGCGAACTTTTGCAAAAGGGCCCGGCCGATGCGCAAGGCCAAGATGAGGAGGGCGAGCCAGACGAACAGAATCTGGATCGCGGCCCCGGCAGCTCGGAGGACGCTGTCTTGCGAAGTCCAACTGCCGGCGTCAGCAACTTGGAGGACGCTGTCTTGCGAAGTTCAGTTGCTGATCCGGATCCTGGCCGTGGCGCCGGCAGTTCGGAGGACGCTGTCTTGCGAAGTCCAGCTGCCGGCGCCAGCAACTTGGAGGACGCTGTCTTGCGAAGTTCAGTTGCTGATCCGGATCCTGGTCGCGGCGCCGGCGGTTCGGAGGACGCTGTCTTGCGAAGTCCAGCTGCCGGCGCCAGCAACTTGGAGGACGCCGTCTTGCGAAGTTCAGGTGCTGATTCGGATTCTGGCCATCTGGTATCCAGCATCGTTGGATTGAACGATCAGTCGGATGACGGCAATCGCTGGTTGCGAGTGTGTAGCGATGTAGAAGAACTATGTCG